CTCTTTACTGGGAGACGTTCAAGTGATGGCATTCACCCCAGGATCAGCAAAAGGCATTAAATGCCGTAGAGCGCAATGGGGTTGTGGTGGGACCCGCAAGTGCGAGTTTCATGATCAGACCATTCTGGAGGGCTGTGAACGATATGATGTGGATCCAACTGGCATGGTGGACCTGTGGCATCTTGTCCTTGATGCAAACGAGCATGAGGCAGAGTCAGAATGGGCAGTGATTGCTCGGTGCGTGTTCATCTCATCAATTAATTCTCCTTCTTATGTAGCTTGACATGGATAGATTTTGGCGCGCTATGAAGGAAACTAAATGCAAAGCAAAACCAAGCGGAGTCCCTTGTACAGGCAAAGCAGTTGTGGTTGAGTATAAATCAGTGCGTCTAAATTTTGGCGACCACATCTGATACTAACTGATGTCTCAATTAGCCGGTTCCTGGCGGCAATAAATACTTTGTGGGTTGTAGCAAATGGTCGCCTCATGGGAGCGAACGGAAAGACCACATTATTCACCATATTCCACCCCACATTGACGAAGAATCTCTCCGATATGCGATGAGTCATGATGGACTCCTTCCCAACTCTCCGGTGACCCATGACTCGTGTTGCTTCACATCTCATCCACGCTTTGGGCTTCTGAACTGCGGTACATGCTGGAGGCTTTCTTGATTTTTTTTGAATCTACTAATACATTTTTTGCCAGGATATTCTCATATTATCGACGGGCAGATCAAGATTGGCCAGATGGTACAACATCACTGCCCTGCCGAAATCCTTGTTTTCACTCCAGTAAATCCGCCGCCTGAACTTGCCCACAAGGCAATTGTTCATGTCCGTAATCCACACTCCCATCCAATATATCCTCGCACCAAACCACGGACGGCTGTCCGTCAAAAAATCAACGCTGTGATTGATGCGGCTGGGCCAGGTGGACTGACTCCTCAAGATCTACTTGACCGCATGGTGAGAGATCCCAGCGGTGAGTTGTCTGGCATCCAAGACAAACGGTTCATCCGAGATGCCATGGCTAAACGACGGGCAATAAATTATCCCCATGGGAAGGGATGGGAAGGCAAGTCCAAATGTTCATGCCAAATGCCAAGCTTGCTAACTCATTGCGCTACTCAAATTAGGCATAGTCCATAGGTTCAATACGGTTGATCGTCTTCTCCCACCCGTGGATCGCTACATCCATTCGGTGATCAGCAAAAATTCGCGGCTTGCTGTCACCATGAATCCAATGCTAGCCCGACACATTCACCGTTTACGTGCTGTGATGTTCGATTATTCATACAAGCGCATCGAGGGCGAGCTGAATGAATGTGATGGTGCCGGATATTCGGAGTTCCATGGCCAGAGTGAGTAATCCTGCCGTCTGTTTGTACTGCTCAAACATGGGACCAGGGCTGTTATTTGGAAGTGCAATTGGTGATGGGGTCGATACCACCTCATACACTCGGCTTTTCACAGAATGGTGGGAGGCAATCGAGAGCTGCACGGGCGAAGTTCTCAAACTCTCACCCTTCTATCCCAACGCCAAACTCAAAGTTGTTGTCTTAGACGGCGACATCGCACAAGCGTTAGGATTTGGAAAATTTCTGGTGTCATATAATAAGCCAGAAATTAGTGGGATCAAGTGCACCGATCCAGAGGAGATTTTGTCCTACTGCATGAAGATGTGTACAGTGCACTTTAAGCGGTATGCTGTTCAACCGATGCCTCACAAAAGTGTTATTTGTACTGAATTTCATCTCAGGCACATCGACGAGCTTCCGAATACAATCTCTAGCGTCACTATCGAGCGGGTAAAGGCAATTCTGACAGCCAAGACTCAAGAAGAAGTCGACAGTTGGCATGCGGAAATGTCATCTCAGACAATTCCTGAGCTGAAGAGTGCGTTTTCCATTCATGTGCATTGCTTGTATTAATTATATGTTACTAGATTGGTATGAGCAAAAGAAACGCAATCCACTTGTTCTCCGTGCCGTAAATCAATTCCTCTCGAAGATACCAACTGACGTTTGGAATACAACTCCTGACCATACCAACTACGTCGAATCCGCACATGCCACGCGAAACCAGGAGACATCTACCCGCTTACCTCCCCTCCAAGCAATCGAAACGTCAGTGCATCTATTCTGTTGAGAAAGAAGTATATCTCACTGCCCAAAATAGCGCCGAAGAACGCGACAGAATTCGAGCTGCCAAGTTGTTGCAGCTTGAACAGGAGGCTATTGTTCCAAAGCGAAACAACGGTCTCTACAACCGTGAGAAACTTGGGCTTCAACGTCGAGAATGGAAGATGAAACAGACCACTGAGAAAGCTCGACATCTCACAAACTTTGACGACCTTTCTGCCGAGCAAAAGGTTGTTGTCGATGCTCGGAAGGAATCTTTAGAGCGGGAAAAGGATATGTGGGATGAGATCAGACGTCTTCAGATGGAGTTGGCGATCGATTGGCGCCAACCTGAACACAAGCAAGACATCGCGGCCTTGCGCACGGAAATTGCAGCAGAAGAATCTCTTCGTAGGGAGCTCAGGATCAAGAAGGATGATCTTGACAGTCGCATTGCTGAATTACGGTCTGGACCTTTGTTTGGAGTGCGAAAACAAGGCCGTCGGAGGGCGGATAATCGAATCGCAGCAAGTATAGAGGACGCAACGGACAGGGAATACAGTGGTTCTGGAACCGAAGGTACGTATCGGCATTTCCCATCTTATGGCCAGCATGTGAAATCCGGGTTAGACGTCTCTGATACAGTTTTCAACGGCACCGAAGTCGTGGAGAAGGCGCAAATATCCGGTGTTCCAATGGAGACGTCCCCAGTCTTGTTCAATACTCGGCCAGGGATAACCGACAATCTGCCTGTGATGGGCAAAAATCTTGTTTCGATGCCGCCGGCCTTCCCCTTGTATCCGGAATCCCGTGAGCTTTCTTTTGGAGAGAACAATCTCTCCTATCGTCTTCTTTCGGCCGAGGATCCTGCGAACACATTGCTCGGGATGAACTTCGAGTCCCAGCAGCTTCTTTCGGGTGTCGAGTGGCCGCCTAATGCCCATTTTGATGCTGTGGGTAACTACGAGATGTTCGATACTGATTATCCATTCGGCCAAACGCTTGTGGGCTATGAGCCCGAGGAAGATTATACGTCCCCTCTTGATGTTACCTTGCCAGATCCAGCGAGCTCATCGCCCGCTCCCAGTCCCTCCCAGGATGTAGTTCCACCTCCCTCCATCCAGACATCGACATCTAGACTTGACTTGGCCAATGTGACTACGAGTAACATTCTCTCAACTGGTCGCAATCGGAAAACTCGTGATCGCGAGCGGGACAATGAGATAGGCGGGGATGGTTCCACGGCCACCAAGAAACGTCGTACGTAGCTATTGAATTAAATAAGTTCTACTGCATTACCAGTTCTACTACATACAATGTAGCATGAACATTTTTGTTGTGTTCCGAAACATCCAGATCATTGACGCGTGTCCACATACCTGCGCAAAACAAAACACCATGTGCTATCCACGTGCGTGCATTCTTTGCTCTTGGCAAGGTACACCGGCCGACAAGCGATACTCGGACTGTCACTGCGGCCTCAGTAGCCATGTGATAAACCAGACCCTCGGGTAGAACCCACTAGATCAAAAATAGGACTCATGCGAGTCCTACTGGATCAAAGTGCGACTCCCACTCCTACTCATCACGTATATACTCTTACAGGGGTAGACGGCTGAGGGGAAAGTCGCTATACTTTCGTCGGTGCATGAACTTTGCGGATAGGAACCCTCGGGGGACGCTCACCCGACTAATGCTTTAAGGCACGTACTGGCAAGTCGGGAGACTGCGCTGGACGGATTTGCGACGACACCGGATCGAAACCGTCCATGTCGGTTCTGTCGAGATGCGATACTGGCGTACACAGTGCATTCGCGACTGGTGTCAGTGAGACTGCGCAAAGACTGTTCGCTGCAGCTGAAACGCGAGATCATCGGTTTGCTCACGGTCGGGTGGGCTGCTGAGCCCGGGTTTTTAAGATCTTCTGTTGGAAAGGTTGAAGATGGCACGGATTGTTAATTATGGGCCTATATCCTATCTCCGGGCGAAAGAGGAAGGAATCAAGATTTATCAAGATAGAAAAGAAGAGGGAAAAGGGAGAGATTAGCATATTTATAGACTCTCTACGACCATGTTACATACCAAATTCCAGTGCTCCGAGTGTTTCCCCACCGCAGTTTAAATCTTGGAAAGTCGATCACGTGTAACGAATAGGATTTCAAGTCCTGAACCAAATCGGGGAGGGTTCCCGATCTGGTTTAGGACCCAGCCATTCAGAATCAAGATGGACACGTGGTCCAAGTCTCGACCGCGGCTCTCGACCACGGCCTATGTGACCTGGTGTGACATCTTACGCGGAGCACTCTCTGCGCGTCGCAATGCTTTACTCATGCCGGACGCGCTCGAAGGTTCGTCCTTCTGCGCTTTGGAATATCTTTCATCTCAATCGCATCCTGTCGACCCGCATTGGTACCAGCTCCCTCGACATCGCGTCAACCGGTGCTAACTTCGTGCATCCATCGCAGCCGCACTCAGGCGTTGCACGCTCTCACATCCGCACGGCATGGTTGCTCATCACCTGCAATACGCCCATCACTTCTGAGCTTAACCTCGCCACCGCAAGGGGAAGAGGCGAGAGAGAGAAGAGATTTTGTGGGAAGGTCACTGGGAGGAAGTTGAGCAACCTTCTGAGCTCCGTGGTGCGTAATTCGATTGGCTCCATGTCCTTCGTATCCCCTGACACTTCCGAAACCACAGCGCTGATGTGCTTTGCCCACTCCCACTATTCCCCACCCTCCCGACTCACCAGCCACTGTCTCGTTGCGTTTGTCATCACGGCACTTGTTGGCTCGACACCTCCTCCACTTCGTCCTCACCAATCCTTGAACTACCAATATATATACTCGAGTACAAGTCTACGATCTCTGCAATAAACATCTAGTCGACGGAATAATCACGAATACCGTTTGCGTGCAAGTGTTTCCGAATCGCCTCTTCGGACACACGGACGCGTTTGCTTCCCGGTACATCCGGGTGGGCACAGCTGCAGCGCTGACGATTTGCAACCCCGGCACAGATCGCACGTTTTGGGCACATTTGAGCTATGCATCGCGCGCAGCGCTTCCTCGACCGGCCACTGCTTGAACCAGCAACCACGTTCCCCGTCACCAGCTCGAAAGCACCTTCTCTAAACGACATTTGCTGTTGGACGACATGTACGGGCTGCGCCGGCGGGGGCGGGGGCGCCGGGGGCTGCGCTGGCGGGGGCGGAGGCTGTTCAAATGCGATGGTAGCTGGGTCAGGACCTGTTGGCTCATCGACATCCATGGGATCGTCCTGTGAGTCTGTGCCGTTTGGGTCTGGATGAGAGGGGTCCTGATTGGTGGATGCGGACTGCTCGTCAGTGACCACACTTGATCCCGAAGCATACTTATCGGCAGCAGAGTTTTGCGCACTAGCATGCTCTGTCTCGAGAGCGAGCTGCTCAACTGTGGGATTAATTGTCAGTTTATCAAGCAGATTCTGAATTCACCGGCCATACCTGTCTTTTCGGTATCATCGACGGTGCTCGAGAGTGGAAGAGCAGTGAGGGTCGAGACCGTATTCGCGTCTGAATTGAGAATGTCGCTAAACGCTTTCAGGGCCAGAGCATTGTCACCCATGAAGAGGGTTGTCCGCTCCAACTTCCAGAGTATCACCTTCTTGTGATGCGCCTCCAGTTGGCTGGGATGCTTGTAATACATCCGACGTTCTGGTTCGATGATCGCCTGATCTTGAGCTCCAACAGCACCGTTGAATGACCACGCGACAGAGTTATAATCAATTGCTTTATAGGCCTCATGAGGAGGATACTGCTGGCGAGTCTTCTTCTTGTGCTTCGGATTCTTGATCTCCTCGTTGAAATAGATGAACTCTGCATGAGTTATGACGGGGGTAACAGGATACAATGTCTGCAGCCGGGTTTGGAGATGCAGATATACATTTGTGCGGCGCGTGAATAGGCGCATGAGTGCATGGACGGGAAGATCATGGTATTCGGGGACACCTTCGACACGAACATTGGGCAGCGTCACAATTCCCAGGTCTGCAGCCAGTGATTTGTCGAAAGGCACAATGCCAGATGTCTCCGAGGTAGCGATTCGAGTGGAAAGGATGGCAGGAGGCTTGAATGAGGGGTCGACATTGAGATGCGAGGCAATCTCAACGGTTTCGTCTGTGACCCACAGATCATAATGCGAGCGGAACTTGGTACCGGTGCGGTTATGGTGTCCAACCTAGAGGGATCAAAAATCAAATTCTTGATACGGAGACTCGAATAATTGAGACATACCGACTGATTGCGTCTGAATATCCAATAGCAGTAGATGGACTCTGCCAACTCTGGCGATGCTCGAAGGGAGCCAAAAATACGTCGAACAGCCATATGAACACCGCCCTCAACGGAGTTGGTGCCGCGGACAGTGCGATAGACGGTCAACCCATCGCGATCGGTTCCCATGATATAGTAGAGCGGAATGTTGGGCGGGTCGGACAGGAATCCCAGGCGCGCGGTTTCGAGAAGACGGTCAGCCATTTCTTTTGCCACCTGCGGGAAGAAAACAGTCTGTGAACCTGCTTTCTGTGTCGAGCAGATGATGTCTTGATAACTCCGGAATAGAATCAAGAGTCGTTTGTACAGGGTGTCTCGATCTGGGATGAACCGTCGGATACGGCGATTCAGTGCATCCGACATGGCACGAAGAGCATATTCCCAGTTTATTCCTCGCTTCTCGAGCGCTGCACGGACTTTTGCAAGATCCTCGCGGTCGCGGATGAAGATGGCAGCACTAAAATCCCAGCAGAAGTGTTTGAAAGCGGAATGCTTCTTGGAAAGCAGTCGAATCAAACGGTCCATGAAATGGAAGGCGTCATCGAGAACACGGCTTGAGAATGTGGTTCGATTCTCAGAGGATTGGCCAGGATTGCCATCGTCGTCCTAGATACAAGAATGAGTTCTTTGCCATCGAATTCAGGTTGGAAACATACCGGTAACTCATTTTCATCTTCATCATTCTCGTCGTCCTCATCTTCAAACATAAAAGTATCCTCTTGGGATGGAGACCAGAAATCGAACTGAATTTCTGAGCCCGGCTCATATGAGATCTCAAAATTGGAATGGTCGCCTTCCAGTGCAGAACTCGGTGGTCCAGGCTGGGAAAATCCGAATGTCGTTTGGCCGGGTAGGGGAATAGTTACAGTGCGCGAACGTAGCTGGCTCCGGGCGACAACAGCAAGCCCGCCGTTCTGATGAATGAATTCAATCGTTGACCGATGAAGTCGATGAATGGCGCCAGGAATCAGAACTTCTGTGATCCGGATCAAGCACCGACTGGCAGTGATAGCAATGCGAAGAGTATTATTTGTTCCATCGGCTGCCGGCACATTGAGATGGGCGTCAGAGGATACAGCAATGAAGCCACGGGCAACATGTTTTTTGCCCTGAACGAGACTGACTGCGGTCCCTGGCACGCACTGATCTGGCTCGAGCTGCAAGCCAACAGGTTCTCGGGAGGAGATAAAACTCCAAAGCTGCCAGATACCATCTATGTCAAGGTGGAGAGCCTCAATATCGTTGGAAGAACAGGGGGATTCCCATTTCTCTGCCGTGATCTCCAAGGGCTCATATGACCTGCGCAAAGCTGTGCCGATGAGAACATCCAGCGGACTGTTTGGGTCCTCGACAACACCGGTGAGTCTCGCAAACTCGCCGAGATCAATCATGCGCGATGGGGGTGCTTGAGTTGGCACCAGTAGCATCGCAAGCAAGGTAGAAAGGATGTGCTGGATCTGATAGCCGACTTTGATGATTGAGTCAGACGTCAGAAGAGAGCGAAGGGCAGGAAGTAAGTTTGGGCGCAACTTGAACGCGGAGATCTAAAAACTGGATCAATCTCTGATCAATTGCGTGTCGGAGCATATTCTACCTTGAATGTATGAGCTCTTGTCGAGCTTCGAATTTGCACAATCTCAATTTGGGGTGGAGGACCCGGAGAACTCTTTATTGAGATTGTGACAACACCACAGGCTGTGATGTCCGAGTCCAGACTCGGGGCTTGAGGCATGATATCAGAAATCAAGTCATCAATATATGCTGCGTCCTCCGAGTAGATTGCATTTGGAAGCTCTCCAGGGGTGAACTCAAGAGGACGAAAATCAGACATGGGGTTCACATGAACAACATCAACCGCTAGTGATGGTGTGATGAGTTCGTGAAAGGATTGTTCCACTAGTAAATACTCAAATTAGTAGACTGATTTGTTGACCGGTAGTAGCACGTACTTTGGGGTGAATCGGTATACAAAATGCTGGTTGGAGGATGTCCAACCTTCTCAAGGCTAGCTTGAATCAAACGCATCATGTCGCGAACATTTGACAGCGACTTTGTCAGAGCGAAACAATGTCCGCGGACCTCCTCCCATTGATTGACGATACTGTATAGCGCCTTCCAAATTGGTTCTCCCTTGAGACCTCCCATGTACTTCAGAACCTGTAGAGACGCCGTGAGAATGGCTGGACTGTGAGAATACGGAGGTAAGTCTTACATCGAAAGTGTGATCAGCTTTCGCAATCCCTAGCGGTAAAGCTGCCTGAGCCCGATCCATGAAGATACGGTGAGCAGTAATGTAGCTGGTGTACATGTCTCGTAGGTATGATACAGATGGAGGCAGTCCCGCATACCCGAGTGGATCAGAGAATGATGAGAAAGAGGGAATCTGTTCTTTACCATAGTACTGGTAGTGTTCTGCGGCTGCATAATACATCAGCTCTTTGCGAGCATGATGCCTATGCTGAATTTCGGAAGCAAGTTCCGAAAAGGGGGATGGTCCAAGTCGCTTGACGACACACGAGTTGAAAGTCTGCATCAGAGTTTTGTCGATGCCCGCTCCATCGGACAGATAGGCTTGAATGCATGGATTAACAAGACACATCCGCCAAAAACTTGGATCACGAACCTGGAAATGCTTCCTGAACAAAACGAGGAAGCTGGGTGACAATATGCGGATCGGTTCCCTGGTAATTCTTGCCGCAACCAGGATTGGTCTGCCGATCCTTATCGCAGAGATAACGGCTGGTCAAGAGATAATAATCCTCCGGAAGGTGTCGAACGCGGCGCGCGATGGGATTATCACTGAAACCTGAGATGTAAATTTGTCAAGTGGTTCAATCTGGGATGCAGATCGAAGGAAACTCACCTTTTCGTATCAAATACACACCACACTTGCATCGCAAATTATCGGTACATCCGGGGAGCAGATGGGGAAGCCAGATGAATACATCCTTTGCATACAACGATGACGGCTTGAATTCGTGGGATGCGGCATGCTGGAGGGCAAATACAGGATGTCGAGGACGATAGAAAAAGTCTCCCCGCTGGTAACACTTCGGTAGTCCGTGTTTCCTGGTCTCCTTCGCAATACAATTCCTCACGGAGAGGAACCATTTTGAAAGCTCTGACTGAGGTCGCACATCGTCTAGTTTCTCCTCTGATGCGTCCAAATCCGCACCCCCCAGGTCTCGATCTCGAAGTTCGTCTGCGCCCAATGTGTCATCAATCACCGTCGTTGCGCTGGCAGCGATATCGCTGAATTCGCTGTTGTTGCGAACGTAATCGAGACGTGCACAGATATCGTCCGCTTTCGATGGCTCTATTTGACCGGGGTTGACTACGACCCGAACTAACGGGGATATAAGGATTGAGCTGATTTAATCCAAGGTTAGACTTGCCTGGCACCGGGTTTGAAGGTGTCGCAGACAATACCGCGCAGTGGAGATACGACCAGTAGCGATCACCTATAAGACAGAGTCTCAGCGAGTGTAGAGACACAGGAGCTATATCATTAGCTGTACCTATAAGACAGAGTCTATGGTACAAGTCATAAGTAAGGTCATTAGATCATAAGGGAGAATGCATACCTCAGCGAGTGTAGAGACACAGGAGCTGAGGATATGGAGCGTATAGTACTAGGTTTATATACCAGTCTGGAGCAGATATCATGATGTCATAGTGGAGTAATGATATCATAGATGAGTAATGGATGACGCAATAATGAGGTCAGGTATGAGGTCATTGTGGAGCGAGCCAAAGTAATCTAAGAATACTACTTATGATGTCATGTCTACATACTGTGATAGTCGCTAATACAAACAAGCTTCAACACTCCCACTCGACTAAACAGTCGGATCACGAAGACCCAAAGACAGCCGATGTTGTTGGAACTTCACCCATGCCAAAGACTTTGTGAGCGTGTCTGAGATCATCGCATCAGTCGGCACATGGTAAAGTTGGACATTGCCAGCTTCGACGGACTCTCGTACGAAGTGATAGCGGATGTCGATGTGCTTCGTCCTCCTATCATGAACTGGATTTACTGCCATAAAGATAGCGCCTTGGTTATCAACACAAAGAGGCGTGGATGGCAAGTCATATCCAAGCTCAGTCAACAAAGTGCGGATCCAGGCAATCTGGCACGTAGCATCGCTCAGAGCCATGTATTCGGCCTCTGTTGAGGACAAAGCGACCGTGGGTTGGCGTCTAGAAACCCAGGTCACTGCACAACCGGCGATGAAGAAGGAATATCCCGTGGTTGAATGCCTGTCGTCTTTGTTCTCCGCCCAATCAGCATCGGAATAACCGATAAGGCCTGCGCCAGTGGAACCATCATAGCAAAGTTGGTAGTTTTTGGTGCCCTGAAGGTACCGGAGTATGTATTTTGCCATGTTCCAATGATGTTCTGACGGGTTGCTGTTGAACTTTGATAGACGGTGATAGGCTGGCTACCAGACGCGCTCTGCACCAACTCTGTAAGGGCGTATTTTTGCGCTTTTACAGAGTTTACTCTTGAACCACTCGGTGTATCGTGTCGCGGTTGACAGTGTTGCGCTCAGTAGGACTTAAGGGTCTACTGCCCAGTCGACGACTGTGGATAGTGTCGACGATAGCAAGGCAGTCAGATCACTACTGTGGAATTGGTCTTATGAGTCTACACCAGGCTCAGGGCCATTAGTGACGAACGCTTGGACCGCGACCATTCCCCCAAAAAGGGATCTGTCGTTGCGTCGACTTCTCGAAAAGGGTCATTCTCTGCAGATGGGAACTTGGGCTGAAGGGCTGAGCAATGCGCGACGTTCTCAATAATAGAACTACTACTGGACAGGACTTGGCGTTACGAGACTTAAACCATCTTGTCGCGGCAACTCCCGGTTCTGAGTTGGACGTTTCCTCAGATCATGCCACGACGACGACTTGTCACATGTCAGGATCCATTCGATCACGGGACATTGAGGACGCGTCGCGGTGACACTCCCAAGTGCCACGGCGATTCGCGTCAACACCCAAACACACTAGAAATCGACACGGCTAGATCCGTGAGCCAAACCATGTGGGGGACGACTGGCGTGCCTAGGGCCATACGGCTTCTTGGGGCGCCCACGTTGGTCTCACATGCCAAGACATACCCGTTGGCCAATCCAGCACGTCGTATTCCAAAAGTATGACGCGGTGGGTTGACCCACATCAAAAGTATCATATGGACTATGGGGCGGGGTCCTGATCACTCAGGACCTGTCCGATCGTTCAACTTTTCAATTACCCTAAAAGGCAACCGATCTTAGATAGCGTAGCTACTATGCAGTTGTACAGGACTTTACTAAGCAGCGTCGTAGACAGTATAAGTAGCACGTCGTCTCTTTGTATTAAAAAGCTTTCCCCCGGACTGTGAATCACTCTCATTTCAGATTGTTTTGTACAATTTGCGTGCCGCGTGATTCCACCCTAAGAAGTTCTGCTACCCCTGCCCGGTCGCGACGAGTTGCTCCCTGAGCACTTGTAGCTACTGTGATTTGAGTTTGAGTTGAGACATCAGAAAGTCGGATTCGCCGCATCTGGTTTAGTCGCGGCATTTAGTGTCGTCGCCTTCGGGCTTTGTTGAGATCGTTCCACACCTCTAGCTTGGCAGTGCGTCGACTAGTTGTGCTCGGGTTGTTTTGGTCAGTTGGCAGTGCGTCGACTTGAGAACTTTGGTTCCACACCTCTTGCTTGGCAGTGCGTCGACAAGTTGTGCTCGGGTTTTGGACATTGGATATTGGCTGTTAGTTGGCAGTGCGTCGACGCGGCATTTTGGTTTACTAGTTGGCAGTGCATCGACTCAGTACTTTTGGTTGTGTCAGTTGGCAGTGCGTCGACTTGACATTTTGGTTCTACTAGTTGGCAGTGCGTCGACTCAGTATATTGGTTGTATCGGTTGGCAGTGCGTCGACTTGATATTTAGGGCTTTGCGTCGCCATCTAGACGCTGTCGCTACAAGGGATCTTAATACTTCGTATTAAGCTCTGACTTGTTATATCGTTGGTTGTGGATTGTATTAGTGTTGGTTGTGCTCGTATAGAAGATATTGGTTGAGATACCATTGTTTGCTATATATATATCCCTGTCGTCGACTCCGTCTCCGCGACTATTGGATCTGCGTCTATTGAGAGTTGTGATACTGGTGCTCTGTCCACCCCGAAGCCCTCGCATCTTTCACACACTGAGAAGCTGATTACGAGGAGTGTGAACGTGTTTATATTTGGGTTTACTTTCATAGTAGATTCACTTGTGAGCACGCCCTCAGCATTTCATCTGGAGCCCACCGCGAGGGGCTTCTAAAGTTTCATAAACTTTAAAAATCAATAAACCGGATTCTTTACCGCGACGTCGGATAGAGACCAAGGGTTTATCCCGCGAAGCAGTTTATTTCGATCCCAAGCTCCTGCGCGACCTCTTGAGGACCAAGCGGAGATTGAGACTGAAGGAAACGCTTCAACTTCAGGACCTTTCGAAAAACCACGAAGGTCTGCAAGACATAAAACACCTTTGTATCTACCACCCTTGCCTTCTAAGGCAAAAGGAAAACAAAGAGTGAATTCGTCGTCGAAGCTTCCAGCTTTAGACGCGGCTACTTCGAGTTCGACGACAATCAGTCGATCTCAGACTAGCTCACAAACCCTCTCAGAATTGTCTAGTAGCGTCACCGCTACAAACACGAATTCTAACAACATCCCTACTTCCCCTGTGACTTCAGTCGCGACAACTATGGCTCCAAAGACTGGGTTCAAAATCCCTCAACCTTGGGACACAAGTAGACCCATACTTGATGAAAAGGATCCCCTGTCGATTGAGGCATATTTGCGTCACTGCGCGCAGATCGTGGAGGATGGTGGCATCACAGATGTCAAACAAGCAAAAAGCATGTACATCCGTTATTTGCCGTCGCGGCAAGTGATGGACGTATGGGAAGGTCTCGATACCTATTCCGACGACACGAAAACTGTCGCGGAGTTCGAGGCCGAAATATTAAAAGGATACCCTGAGGTATCCAAGCGAAAAACGGGGACCATGGCAGATCTAGATAGACTCTGTCGCGAGAACCGTGGAATCAAAATCACGGATGAGGGAGATTTGAAGCGCTTCGGCCTTCAGATGTACAGTCACTACAAGCGACTGTCAGTCCCTCCTGCCATTATTACCAACAAAGTCGCGTGTGAACGCTACATGCGTACTTTGGACTCTGAGTTCAGTACCGTCTTGAGGAACGCTTTGGCTACGAGTCAAGTATTCAATAAGCGCTACCAAACTCGCGCTGGGATAGCAAATGCTAATGTCCCCGCGACTGGAGTCAACCGGCAGGACGACCCCATCCAGCTGAAAGAGCTAATGACAATGGCGGAAGAAATGGCGTCGACGTTGAGTAACGAAGACGAAATTCCCATAATCGCGCGACCTCCAAAGGTTCGCTTCGACTATGAGACTAGTCCACCCAACCATGCTAAGGTTGAGGAGTTGGAAAACTCGATTTCTAACTTGAAGGACTCATTTCTTCTACACCAAAAAGAGCTACAGACTCAGTTGCAGGAAGCGCTGAAGACGTTCGTACAGACTGCTCGCGAAGCGCCTATACAGCGGTCGCGGCCAGTAGGCAACAACTCTTCTGTGCCCCACTTTGAAAGTCGCGTACAAGGAGGAGCTGCCGCACGGAACGACGACTGTCGCTACTGTGGACAAACTGGTCACTGGTCGAACGAGTGCCCGCTCAAGAGGTCTCACATTGAGAAAAACCTTCTCAAAGTCGACACCAAAGGGATGTGGAGGCTCTTCGACGACAGTTTCCTACCAAATGGAGAAGGGACTCAGGGACAACGAGTAGAGGCTTATTGGAAGAAGAAGGGCAAATCCGTCAACTTCCAGGACTCCTACTACTTGGATCAGTTCGATAGCCGCGACAATGATGATATGTCCGACTACCCTGAAGAAGTGGCAGATGAAATACGCTCCCTTCGAAGTCAACTCATCCAATACGAGAGGAAGTCGTCGCGACCAACCCCAGAGAGTCGCGCTGAGCCAAAGACTCACAGAACTGCATCTGGTTCAACCAGCAATGCAATGGAAAGTGCCATGGGCCAATTCATGCAGAAAGCCATGACCGACGCCATGGCCGGCTACTTCAACAACATGAACAGTGGTTATCCTCAGACTCAGGAGCAGTTCATTCAAACCCGTCGTGGTGCGAATAGCCAACCTGAGCGCGACGATAACAACTCGGGTTTCTAAATGGTTCAAGGAAGGGGGCTAAACCCACAAACTCAGCCAAGCCCTCTGAGGACCATGATAAACGAGCTGAGCGACGAGAGAAACCGAGAAAACCTGTGACTATTGAAGAAGTTAGTGATAGCGACAATGATGAGGGATCAGTGCGCGACAACGTCGAAAAGAGAAAGGAACTACCGTTTGAGAAAGTCAAGCCCGTTCTACAAGAACCAGTACATTCTTCAAAAGCGCGCGTTCCAGATAAATACCAGTTGCGTGCACCGATTCAAAAGAAGGCTGTGGCAGAAGCAGTCTACGACAAAATGAAAAACGCGTCAGTCGACGTCACTGTGGGTGAACTCCTAGCAGTTTCGGGGACTGTCCGCGACTCCAATCTGAAGGACTCTTCAAAGAGACGAGTACCGGTTCAGAAG